ACGAACTAGCCCCATGATTATTCTATGCTCAGTAGGACACTATAGATTGTCTCACAAGCTAGGCCAATTAATCGCAATTGCCTTGAGTCTTATTTCAGATGATCGCATGGACATGAGTAAAATTTTGAGTTTATCGTGGATATCCCTTAAGATTGGCAACGAAGAATCCACCCAAGTTTGGCGCTACTCCCTTAAAACGGAACTGAGTTATTGGGGGAAAGTTATAGGAAAAATCAATATGATTAATTCCATGCATTTATCATCCAGCGATGTTAACAATTCTTCAAGTTAGATTCAGATACGGATATGCTTGTTGAAGCATACGACAGAAGCTAAGCATTAATATAATAATAATAATAATAATAATAAATAAATGGAAGGACGAAACAGATATTGGAACTGGTTTGGAAGGAGATGAGTGGAAGACCACCGAGTGAGTCATAACTAAAGACACCGTCTAAAGAAGGGTTGAGAGCGGTTATGGATGTGATTTTGATTAAATAAATTGAGCAAAGTGGATGAAAAACTAGTTTATTGTAAAAAAAGATTGTCAAAATCGGGATAAAGTGGTGAATCATTACTCTATTAAGTGCAAGTGAGATAAGATAGTGTATATGAAATTAATGGTAAATGAGATAATAATTTGGTGTCGATTACGATAGATGCGAAAATCTGGGAAGAATCAAAGACACTGGCAAAATAGCTAACTGACCCGCTTTAAAAAAACTTTTTTTGTAAAAGTGCAAACAGCTAAAATCGAAATATCTAGCGGAAAATATTGCATCATAAGTAAGATTGCATTGAGACATCTGAAAATGTAAATGAATAAGCTCTATCTTGTCTTAAGGTTCATCTGTGCCATGTAACCAGTGTGCTGCCATTGTTGATTCAAATGTTTGGGAATTACATGGAGGAAAATGATGAGGTTTATGTGGAGCAAAAGCTGCTTCATTATTTTATCTTGATCAGACTAATATGCAGGCCTTTAAACAACTAATCGAATTAGGGTGACCAGCTTTCCATTGTAAATGGAATGATAACCCCAAAATATGCAGATGGAGAACAGCATTCCTGTTACGCGTACTTGATTGAAGCCCAATATTCCATGAGGGATGATGTGTCCACGAGAAAGTTTATTAACATCAATAACAAAGAATTTCTGGAATTAAATATTATATTGTAAATTAATAGGGAGAATGAATAGTGAGCAATGCGCTAAGATTAGATTATTATTATAATTACTGCTTAATTGATAATGCTAAGTGAGTAATTAAAAACATGTTACGCTAGACTTATTATAAATCTAAATAAACAATGAAGTTGTCGAACTCTACTGACTCTTGGAAGCAAAAAAACTCAATCGTGATTCACCGGATGACAAATCTTTTCATTTCTGAATAATATTAACTCAGTTATAAAAATGATAGCCTTTATGGCCTCCATCCAAGGTTATGGCTTGTTTTCAGGCCATAAAACATATTCCACTCAGTAATTTCTTACTCGATCCTTTACTTTGGATTTTATAGTCCTGATTAGAGCACAGACACATCCACTATATCTATGATTAAAACTAATGTTTAAGAAAATTGTAATGGCTGGACTCAATTTCCTCAATGTTATTAATATTTTTTCCTTTTATTATGCACTACTTAGATCTTTTCAATAGTAGGTTCAGCAGCAAAGTAGCTATAAAGGAATAATTTTTCTTGAATATATGAAGACCAAGATGTTGTGGCCTCTGGTGTGGTTTACAAGTAGGTTCTCAAATAGTTGAAATATCCCCCAATCATGTAAGTAGGCCTTATGTTTATAGTGAAAAAGGCCTTGCTTCCCAAAAGGTATTCCCATATAGGATAGACTGCAGTTTCGACCTCGCCTTGGTCTGATCAAACCTGGTAGTGCAGCATATAATCTACACACGTTAACCACTAAGCCACACTGACAAAAGTGCCCTTGAGGTATAGGGCAGATACGAGTTGGAAAAAAGGCCAGTCATTCTACCATACCGCATTCTTCGGTGGGATTAAAGATGAAAATTGTATCTTCAATAGCAATCGACTACATTACTTTCGTTTAAAAGTAGATCTTAGATACTACAAATGGATCATAGAGATGAGCTATATTCACCCTATTTTATTTAAAGAGACGAAGAAATGGTGGCTGAATTTTCCCACAATGATATGAGTGTCATTATTATACGATGTACTATCAGGGCTCGAGTCCCGCTGGGGTGCTGATAAGGCCCAGACGAAGCTGAAACTGCAGTCCACTCTGAATGAGGATGCCTTTTGGGAAGCAAGGCTATGTAAAGTTCAATCGAAGAGTAAGACCTGCTCAAGCCTAAGTGGAAATATTCAATTATCACTACCTTAAATGAAGTAGGGTAAATAAACCCAATAAGGGAATAAGTAAATCTGAACTTTGATTTCAGCAAGAATATAATAAGTACTTACTGATAAATGTAGCAGTGACACACTTATACCTTGTTCTCACAATCCGAAATTCAATTAAATAACTAAAGTCGATTATCTGTTGCTTTTCATCTTCCTCATTTTAATGCACAGACTTTCCAACAAAGTAAATTAACTTGTTCGATTAATTTCTTATTTAGATTGGATAGCCGGTAGGCCTAAAGTAAGGTTATATAACTAAG